GGAAAGGGAACAGGCAGACAGTGCAGGGATCCCCTGTGGCCGTTCCCCTCAATAACAAGTATACCGTTTTGGATACTGTTGGCGGGGGGACGACTTACCAGAGGTAAGCCATGGGGTATAGGTCTCTAGTGGACCACAGTGTCCCAGAAGGAATGGTCCCAGCGGAAGGTGAACAAGGGAGGGGAAGGGAATATGCGTCTAGTAGTGGCATTTCACTGGAAGTGGCAGAAATGGTGTCTGATGATATTCTGGATGTGGATGCTGGTAGGTAAGGGCAAGCGGAACCCTATCGCTGTTTAGGGAGTGAAGAGCAGGGTTGAGTGTGGAAGTTTGGGAGATGTGTCAGACCTGGTCGAGGGCCCTGTCGACAATAATCCTGGGGAATCCTCAGTTGAGGAAGAAGGTGGACATTTTGGAGGCTGCCTTGTTAAAGTTGGCCTCATCGGAACATATGTAACAGAGATGGAGGAACTGGGAGAAAGGAATAATGTGTGAGGATGTATTGTCCAGCTCACTGCATACATACTATACATAGAGTATATACATATAACATAGTCCAGCGACCTACATACATACATACTATACATACTCACATGCTGTATACTCCTGGTAGCGGTGGGAGTTGGTGAATTTATAGTGAATATTAGTGGTCAGTCTATCACCAGAAATGAAACAGAGATGTCGAGGCAGTGAAGGGAGGAGTCAGAGATTGACCAGGTGAAAGTGAGGGCAGGGTGGAAATTGAAAGCAAAATCACTGAACTTTTCCAATTCCAGGCAAGAGAGGGAAGCAGCACCAATTATATCGTCAACATATTGGAGAAAGAGTTGTGGTTGGAGGCTGGAATAGGACTGGAACAAGGAATATTCCACATATGCCATGAAGAGACAGGCATAACTGGGCCCTTGCCAGTACCCATGCCCCCTACCCCCAACCTGACCTGAGCCAAATACGAGGAGGTAAAAGAAAAGTTGTTGAGGATGAGGATGAACTTGGCCAACCCTGACTTTTTTATTTAGTCTGCCGATAAGGATGGTGCTGTTGTAGTCTGGTGTACTGACTTCTACATTGGAGAGGCTGAGAGCCAGCTTTCAGATACCTCCTCCTATCTTTCCCTGGGTCATGACCCAACCGTGGCACATTACGCCACTGTATCTACTACAGCAACTAACCTTATTTCAACTGGTGACCTCCCCCTGCCGCTGCCTCCAATGTTGATAGACACCAGCCCCACACAGCTCACTTCCACCTCCTTCCAAAAATCCACAAACAGGACTGCCCAGGCAGACCCATTGTTTCAGCCTGCTCCTGCCCCACAGATGCACCTCTTCTTACTTTGACTCAGTCTTTTCTCCCCGGTCCAGTCCCTGCCCACACATATCCATCATTCTTCTGATGCTTTGCACAATTTTCAGAAGTTCCAGTTTACAGCCTCCAGCTGCCTTCTCTTTAACATGGACATGCAATCCCTTTACATGTCCACTGCCCATTAGGATGGTGTTATGGCACTCTGCTTCTTCTTGGAGCAAAGGCCTGAACTGTCCTCATCTACCTCTACCCTCCTCCACTCGTCCTCGCCCTCAACAACTTCTCTTTTAACTCCTCACATTTTCTTCAGGTCAGAGGGGTGGCCATCGGCCCTCACATGGGCCCCAGTTATGCCTGTGACTTTGTGTGATACTTGAAAAAGTTTTTGTTCCACTCGTATTCTGGCCCCCACCACAACTTTTTCACTGATATTTCGATAATATCATCAGTGCTGCTTCCCTCTCTCATCTGGAATTGGAGAAGTTCATCGATTTTGCTTTCAATTTCCACCCTGCCCTCACTTTCACCTGGTCTGTCTCTAACTCCTCCCTTCCCTTCCTTGACATCTGTTTCCATTTCTGGGGATAGACTGGCTACTAACATCCACTGTAAACCCACTGACACCCACAGCTACCTAGACTATATATTCTTGCACCGTGCTTTCTGTAAAGATTCCATTCCATTCTCCCAGTTCCTCCATCTCTTTTGCACATGTTCCAATGAGGCCAACTTCAGCAAGGCAGCCTTCAAAATGTCCGCCTTCTTCCTCAACTGAGGATTCCCCAGCACCACTGTCGACATGGCCCTTAACCGTGTCTGACACATCTCCCGCCTCACCCCCTCTCTTCTCTACCACAACAGCGATAGTGTTCCCCTCGTCCTTACCTACCATCCTACAAGCATCTGCATCCAAAAGATCATCAGACACCATTTTCACCATTTCCAGCACAATGCCACCAGCAGATACATATTTCTCTCCTCTGCCCTCCGTTGTTCACCTTCTGCGGGGACCGTTGCCTCTGGGATGCCATGATCAGCTCTTCCTTCACTCCAAACACAGCCCCCCGGCCCCTTCCGCTGCAAGTGCTGAAAGTGTAACACCTGCCCATTTACCTCCTCCTTCCCCAGTATCTAAGGGCCCAAACACACCTTCCAGATGAAACAACACATTACCTGCACCTGTCACGATCTAATTTACTGCATTCACTGCTCATAATGTGGTCTCCTCTACATTGGGGAAATGAAGCATGGACTGTGTGACCACTTCACAGAACATCTACGTTTTGCCTGCAAAAAAGACCCTGCCTTTCCAATGGCCTGCAACTTTAAGACACCACCCTGTTCCCTGGCCAACATCTCTGCCTCAGGTTTGCTGTATTGTTCCAGCAAAGCTCAGTGCAAGCTGGAAGAACATCACCTCATTTTCTGCTTGGGGACCCCGCATCCCTCAAGACTCAATATTAAGTTCATTAGTTTTAGGGCCGAAACTGTCCCATGTCCTAGCTGCCGACTCCATGCACCAGGCTATGTTATCACCATCTTGAAAGCCGGTGCTGCCACCACTACCTTGAATCCTGCGCTGGTGGGCCCATCAGCTTCAAAGTCGCCATGTTCCAGTGCCATGTTCTCTCATTACTGGGCTCACACTCACTCTCTGAGGGCTTGCTCTTCCCGATGGGCTGACTCTTACCACCGTTGCTGCCACACGTGCTTGGGAGGCCATGCCCACACTTGCCCTGCTGAAGATACTAAAAAGTCTTTTAAAGAGAAACAAAAAGAGAATAAAAGGAACAAAGCAAAAGAAAAAAAAAGTACAATGTAAAAGAGATAAGAAAAAGAAAACAGAAAGAAAGCAGACAGAAGCGGGTAAACCCAAGGCCATGAGCTCAGACACAGTATTGCTACTGTGCAACCATCTTGGAGAATCCTGTGCATCCTCTCCAGTGTAATCACATCTTTTTTGTAATGTGGATTCCACTGCTGCACAAATGCTCCAGCTGTGGCCTAACCAACATTTATACAATTCCAGCAGTTAAGCTTTTCTTCTCTTAAATTCTGTACCACAGCTAATAATGGCAAGTATCCCAAATGCCTCTTAAACATTTTAACTAATTGTCCTGGTGAATCCTTTCCTGCAGGTGGAACAGGTTAATGACCTCTCCCCAGTGTGAAGCTGCTGGTGTTTCTGCAGGTTACAAACACTTCTGGAATTCTTGTGAGCAACTGAACATAAATGTGAAAGCAAATAAGTGTCAGTGGTGGTTAAAGAGAATAACCCAAGGAAGAGATGGGTTTGATTACTGGACTGACGGTCATGAGGGCATTAGGTTTAGAAGGCGCAAATAGGTCTTGCCACCAAATATATTTCTTTCTAGAATTGACTTGTCATTGTGTTCATTGTCCAGGTATGGCAGAGAGCAAAATATCTCAAAACAAAAAGGCTGTGGCTGAAAGACAGTGTAATAGCCACGATATGATCATAGTGGTACAGATCAAATGCTGTTCTGTGGTTTGCCTACATTAACTCACAAGATACATAGCTTGACCAGACCAATTGCTTGGTACAGCAGTAAAATGCAAAGTGGCTAACTCACAAAGAATAGTTATTGGCATGTCAATGGATGGAATGACTGAGAGAATCCCTTGCTACACAGAGAAAGTAAACCACTTCTCACCATTGTGAACTTGGTACTATGTCAAGAGTTTAGAGGTAATCTGAAACTATCACAGAAGAAAGTACGTTGACAGCTGCAGACTGCAAACAAAGAAATATGTGCTGTAAATGTCATGCTTATCCTGACAGAGTGAAGACAAATTTGCAGTACATAGGGTTTGTCATGAACTGAATAGGATCATGAGCCTGTATATTTAAAGTTAGAGTCAGCAACTTTGAACTTGGTGCCAGTGAGACCACGTTAAAACAATCTACTTTGAATGTTCAATCACACAGAGCTCATCTGGACACTTACCTGGATTAGCCTTGGAATTACGGTAGCTACAAAAAGAGTCAGTAGCTGGGAATCTGTGGAGAGTAACACAACTCCTGACTCACATAGTCACAAGACATGAGTCAGAAGTGCAATAGAATATACTCCACAAGCCTGGATGAGTGCAACTTCACAAACATCCTCCAGGACAAAACAACCCATTTGATCAACACCCCATTCAGTACCTAAGCTTTCAAATGATATACCTCTGGTGCACCATGGCACATGTACCATCGACAAGGTGCTCAGTCACAACTTGACAATATGTGAGAATTCCAAGAGCACTGATGACATATCAGGAAAAACTCCTAAGCAGTGAAACTCCTGTGGTCCAATCCCATGACTATCAGAAAAGTTAGAGATCTAGGTCTGCTACCACTTCAGTGTCCTATAATGCCTGCACCCTGGAACACAGAAATGCTAGTTTTGTGATGTAAGTGAGGTTCTTTGCAGACTAGAGATGAGAATAATCCAAATTGACAGTAGGTTTTCTGATTGGCTTAGTCTGCATATAACTGATGAGTCCTGTTAAATTCAATTGTCAAGTATTTAAACCATGGTAACTGTAATCCCAGATTTTAAAAAAAAAGGGGAGCTCTACTTAACTTGAAGATTTCCCGAGGTGATTTGCCAAGAGAAGAAAATAGCCATGTAAAAGAAATTCAAGAAAAGTTGAGAGATATTGGAAAACAAGCCACATAATGCTTAGCATTGCTCACATTGTTTATTTTGCATGTTTGATAACTGACACTCTTCTTTGAATATACAATTGTGGGTTGTTGAGCTGTAAATATAAATTGTTAAATATATTTGCTAAATGAATAAATTAAGGTGATTAACCAAACTTTTTTCAGAATAATAATCCATGTGATCAGACCAGAGTTTAGTTCCATCAGCAGAAACAAAACCCAAGTTTCACAAGGTGGATCAATCCTAGATGTGATTACCAGCAGTGACAAGACCAAGGTCCATTGTCTGCAATCAGTTGTGAATTTGCTGGTGTTTTAGCAGATTGGATGACTGAGTGAATCCTTTCCCACACACAGAGCAGGTGAATGGCCTCTCCCCAGTGTGTACTCGCTGATGTGTCTTCAAGTTTGATAAACGTGCAAAACTCTTCACACAGCCAGAGCATTTGAAAGGTCTCTCATTGGTGTGAACTCGCTGGTGGGTCAGTAGGTGGAAGGACTGAGAGAATCCCTTCCCACAAACAGAACAAGTGAATGGCTTCTCCCCAGTGTGAACCCGTTGGTGAGTCAGGAGGTTAGAAGACTGAGTGAATCCCTTCCCACAAATAAAGCAGGTGAATGGCCTCTCTCCGGTGTGGACTCGCTGATGCTTCAAAAGGTTGGATGAACGGGTAAACGTCTTCACACAATAAGAGCAACTGTATGGCCTCTCCCCAGTGTGAACTCGCTGGTGTGTAAGCAGGTGAGAGGACTGAGTGAATCCTTTCTCACACACGGAACAGGTAAATGGCCTTTCCCCTGTGTGAAGCTGCTGGTGTTTCAGCAGATTAGATGATTCTCTAAAACACTTCCCACATTGTGAGCAGCTGAATGGCCTCTCCCCAGTGTGACTACGTAGATGAATCTCCAGCTGAGATGGGTAATTGAATCCTTTTCCACAGTCCTCACATTTCCACGGTCTCTCCATACTATGAGTGTCTCTCTAGGTTGGATGATGAGTTGAAGTCTTGTCCACACAATGTACAAATGTACAGTTGCTCCTGCTGCAAAAGTTATTTATCTTCCCTAAATAACAAAGTTATTTTCACAGTCAGTGCTTTGGAGCACTTTCAGTCATGTGTCTGGGTCTTGGTGTTTTGCCAGTCACATTGATATTTGAAATCCTTTGCACAGTCAAATGGAACAAACCTATCTCATTTCACACTCAAATGCCGAGAACAATAAGGATCTGATTAGTCAAATGATACTATCAGATCTGGATATGACATTGTGTTTGAGATTTCTGATTTTAACTTTTCTTCTTCTAATGCCCCTGTGGAAAGAGATTATAAAAGTCACCACTCAAGGTACAAAACAGAAATTCAGAACAAACATGGAGAGTTTCTATGAAATATTGTTTCTGCTATTGTTTCCCCAAAACTCTAAGTCCTCAGCCCACACATTTTCCTTTGCCCCTTTGGAGTGATTCAAATCTATTATACATCTCGAAAATTTCTTGTGTCCTCTCAGTCTTCACCCTCTTCTAGCTGATTTCAGTTCTCCACTCCCCTGTTGCAAAATGACAATAAAGTCAATGAGTCAATGATTTTCTCTTATAGTCACTAGTTTCTTGAAACCCGGACAGCTCTCTCTCTCCCATCACACAAAGTGGCCACCATTTTTCATGACCCTGTCCTGTTAGCTAAAGACCCTGCTTACTCAGACCTGAGACAACGGGTAAATGTGGGTTTGGTGTTTTCTTCATGCAACTCAAGGTGTATCTCTGATTTTTCCTTTTCACATTTTCCTTCTTATCAAAAATCCTGCAGTTCGCCCTCTAATCCTTGCACCATTTATTAATAAGAACAGCTTTTCTTTCTTTATCTCATCTAAAACTGTCATAACCTTGCACAACACCATCATCTCACCACTCAATCTCCTTTGTCTCAATGGCAGCTTCTTCAATCTAACCTTCTAGTTTGCTATATCTCTGGCAACATTCTAATAAATCACCTATACACCTCATTTTGATGCCTAAATTGCACTGACAGAATTGAATGTGCTTGATCTACCGTAACTAGAGCTTTCTGGAGGTTTATTCATAACTTTTGTACTCAATTTTCTGACAGAGGTCTGTGACCAGTGGGGTTCCGAAGGATCAGTGCTGGGATCTCTGTTGTCTGAAATACATATAAATAATTTTGAAGAAAATGTAGGTCATCTGATTAGTATGTTTGTAGATGACACAAAAAAAAAAATCGGTGGAGTTGTTGAAAGTGAGGAAAGTTGTTAAAGGATATAGCAAGAAATAGACCTTTTGGAAAGTTGGACACAGAAATGACGCATGGAGTTTAATTTGAACAAGTATGAAGTCATGCATTTTGAGAGGTGACATGCACAAAGAAAGTATGCAGTAAATGGCAGGCCCCTTACGAATATCAGTATACAGAGGGATCTTGAGTTGCAAGTCCATAGTTCTCTAAAAGTGGCAACACCAGTGGGTAAGGTGGTAAAGAAGGACATAGTGGAATTGGCTACTTAAATGAAATTTAATACAGAAAAAGACGAGCTGATGCATTTTCAATGAAAGGATAAAGCAAAACAATCTTGACTAAAATGCACAGTTCTAAAGAGTGAGTAGGACCGAAGGTGCTATATCAGAGGTTTCTTGATGGTGAACCTTTGAAGGTGGAAGCTCATCTTGAAAAGTCATCAAAGCATGATGGATCATTAACAGAGCATTCAACATAGAAGATAGAACTGCAGAGTGCAGGAACAGACTTTTTGGCCCACCATGTCTGTGCTGCACATGATACCATTCTAAACTAATCCCATCTGCCTGCACATGGCCCACATCCCTCGATTCTCTGCCTGTTCATGTGTCTGTCTTAACGCCTTTTAAACATTGTTATCATATCTGCTTCTACTACTTCCAAGAACAGCGCCTTCCAGGCAACTACCACCCTCTGTATAAAACACCTACCTTGCACATCTTTAAATTGTCCCCCTGTCAACATAAACCTATGCCCCCTAGTATTTGACATTTCCACCTTGGAAAAAAAGACACCGAGTGCACACCCTATCCTTGGCTCTCATAACTTTATTTACTTCTAACTGGCCTCCCCTCAACCTCCGATGCTCTAGTAAAAACAATCCAAGTTTTTCCAATCTCTCCTTATAGCTACACTCCAAAGTAGGCAACATCCTGCAAAACCTTTGTTGCACCCTCTCCGAAGCCTCCCCATCGTTCCTCCAATGTGATGACCAGAACTGCACGCAGTACTCCAAATGTGGCCTAACTAATATTTTATACAGCTGATATGTGACTTGCCAACTGTTATACTTAAAATCCCAACCGATGAAGGTAAGTATGCCATATGCCTTAATTACTCCATATCCACCTGTGTTGCCACTTTCAGGAAACTGTCAAGTGTAGCCAAAGCTTCCTCTTATATCAATGCTCCTGCCATTTGCTGTATATTTTCCTCTTGAATTTGACCTCCCAAATGCATCACCTGACAACTATTCAGATTAAACTCTGTCTGCAATTTCTGAACCCAAATTTCCGACTGCTCTATATCCTGCTGTATATCTTTCCTCACTATCCACTGCAGTGATTAGAATGAGGTCAGCCAGGTGGATCTCATAGAATGAGTTCCTTTATTGGGGCTGTTAACCTGATCCAATTAGGGGCGCCTGGCTCACAGGAGTGTCAGGGGTTCTCTTCACTCCAGGAGCCAACTCTGAGCTAGCTGTGTGTGCCATGTACTATGAATGTGTAAATAAAGGGTGACTTGGTGATGGCCTTTGTGGAATTATTTCTGTTGCAGTGAGAGTGGGATTAATGATGTGACCATGCAAAAGTGTCCATCAGCTGAAGCCCACCTGGACTCCAAACAGGCACTACAACTGACTTTGTCATTAGAAAATGCAGCAAGTAGAGTTTATGAGTTACAGGGTATGCCGATGTATGTGGAAACCCTTGTCAGGCTGACTAAGTTTGGGAGCACCACTTGAGTGAAGGCAATTGCATAGCCTCACTCAGGACATAGCCTAAACAGAGGCACTCTAGGTCTGCTCACAGCAAAATCCTAAAACAAAGCCAAGCCTCAGCCAAATGGTTAAAATTTTCTTAAGGATCCAGGCCAGCCGGCCATTGCAGTTGCAGCCAGTATGCAGACTCAAGACAGCAAAGAATCCCATCAGGCCTGAATGGAGATATAGAATGAATAGGCTACTATCCAAGAGAATGCACACCCTTAAAAGTCCACCTGTAGCTGGTTTGGAACAGTCAAATTGCTTAGCAATGTCCAAATCAGAGCCAATCAAAACAAATGTCTGGTTAAACGGTTAGTCAGATCCACTGGAAGTTGATACTGGTGTGGCTGTATCAGTGGCTACAGAACCAGTCTTTACCAAAATTCACTCTGTACTGCAATCCTTAATTTCGTGTAAGACCTTGGCCAGGCTGAGAACCTGTACCAGACAACCGCTACAGATTAAGAGTGCAATCTCTGTTCCAGTCTCTTATGAGAAGCAGTTGGTGCAGTTACCACAGATTATCATTAAAGCCTCGGGTGCAAGTTTGATGCAGTAAATTAGTCGAGAAAGATTCAACTTGATTGGTTCAAAATTTTTCGATTAGAAAATGGCTGCCTGAGTGAAGTCCCAGTTAAATACCCAAAGTTTTTCAGGGATGTCTAGGATCTGTCAAAGGGGCCAAGGCCACCTTATATGTTGACCAAGAAGCAATTTCATGATTCTGCAAGGCCTGACCAGTCCCATTCACCTTATGTGCAAAAGTAGAGGCAGAAATCAGGAGAGTGGAAAGCAAAGGAATGATTAAACCAGTGCAGTTTGTGGAATGGGCAGACCGTTGTACCGATTCAAAATCCCGACGGGTCAGTTTGGATAGATACCCAATCCCTTGCAAAGTGGACTTATGTGCAAAACTGGTTGGGGGTGGAAAGGGGCTGTCCTTCACGAAACTGGACATTAGCCATATATAACTGCAATTGCAACTAGATGAGGATTCCCAGAAGTATGCTACAATTAATACCCATAAGAATTTGTACCAATACACGAGACTTCCTTTTGGGGTATCAGCAGCCTGTGCCATTTTCCAACGGATGACAGAAAACATTTTACAAGGTCTACCCCAAACGCCATTTATCTGGATGATGTGCTAATAACTGAGAAGACCAAGAAAGAGCATTTAGAGAACTTGGCTATAGTGCTTAAAGATTTCTCCAAGGCAGGGGTACACCTCAGAAGGGAAAAATGTGTGTTCCAGCCACCCCAAATGACCAACTTGGGCTACAGAGACTACAAGGCCAGGTTACACCTGTTCAAAGAGAAAGTGAGGGTGATCAAAGGTGCCTTGGCTCCCTCATATGTACCGGAGCTTCAGTCTTGCCTTGGCTTGGTTAACTAGTATGGAAAATTTGTACGTAACCTGGCCGCTTAGCCTGATACCCTTACATTTGCTATTGCAAAACAGTTAGCATTGGAAATGATCTCATAGCCAAGATGTAGACTTTAGGAAAGTGAAGAATCAGCTATCATTGTCTGTGGTGTTGGCACAGTACAGTCCCAAGCAACAGGTAGTGTTGACGTGTCATGCCATGGTATAACAGCAGTGTTAGCTCACAGGTGGCCCAGGGGAGAAGAACATCCAACAGCGTTTCCTTCCCGAACTTCGGTTGATGCTAAACAAAGATATGCCCAGATAAAGAAGGAAATCTTGGTGGTGAGAAAGTTCCACCAATACCTTTACGGATTTAAATTTGTAATAGTAAAATGAACCCAAACCCCTGCTAGGGCTACTTAAAGAGGACTAGGCTGTGCTGCCTATAATTTCAGGTTGGATTCAGCAGTGGGCTCTTACTCTGAGTGCGGACAATTACAAGTTGGAACACAGTCTGGGAAGTCAATGAGCAAATGTGGGTGCTTCGAGTTGCCTCCCACTGACAGATACATCACTGGAAGAGTCCGCTTTGGTTTTAAACTTTCTGGACACTCTTCAACTCACCACTGACAATATCAAACCGTGGACACAAAATATCTCATCCTGGTAAAACTAAAACAGCTGGTGGCGATGGGACATCAAAGGTGCCATCGCAACCAGAACTGAAACTTTTCTGGGCCCGGGAAGGCCAGGTCACCATAGAGGACAGCATGTTATTATGGGGAGCAACAGTGATTGTCCCGAGCACAGGTCATCACCAGATACTGACGGAACTCAACCAGGAATGTTCAAAATGAAGATGTTGGTGAGAACTTATGTCTGGTGGCCAGGATTGAATGCTGACATAGCTGCATTGGTGGGGGAGT